GAGGGAGCCAGCAGGTGGATAGCTGCCCATACCTTGTCAAACAGGCTTCCTCCAATCATGAGCCTTATTGTTAGTGACGTCAGCTGATGCCATAATTGGAGGTGGAGTTGAAGGTGGAGAGTGTGCAGATGCAACAGGGACCGGAGAGTTCTGAGCCCATAAAGATGTCGGAAAATAAGATAAATACTGGTAAGTGATTGTCTTACTCTGCAAAATTCAAACTGTAATCAGCTATGCAAAAGAGTATGGATATAGAGTTGCAGAGAGACAATTTGGACCTCCTCCCACTGGGTGTATGATCAATCAGATAGTGGAGAAAACAGGAAGAACAACTCTTTAAGATGCCAAAAAAGAAGGCCTTAGGAGGAAAACCAGCAAAATGTTTAAAATATTGATTTAATTTGGGTTGGAAAAGTGGGGGGCGTCTTATACCTGGGGGTGTCTTATTCACGGAAAAATACAGTATTCTATTTTTCTTAGAGTCAGAATTCAGAATGAGCTAAGTATGGTAAACAGAGGTCTAGAGGTTGCCACAATTCCAACCATTGCCAATAGAGTGGGCTTAGGTGGGGCTTGGCCATTGGCTCCTCATCCTCGTGGGTGGAGACTCTGAGGAGCTGAGTTTGGAGAACTTTGAGAAAATAGTTCTGGGTCTTCTAGAGCAGCAGTCACCAACCTGTGGTCCGTGAGGTCCAAAAGGTTGGCGACCACTAGAGCCTGTTCACAACATCAGAAGATCTCTTGGCAACCCATCCCTGATTGCCCCAGACTGTTGTCCACCCACTCACTCCCACCTCCCACGTAACATCACAACATTTACTTGAAGTCTCTAATTGGCATTTTCTCCTTTGCTTAGATTATTTGCACGTTAAGTTAATATCCCTTGTTGATTTCCAATTTCCTTTAGAACAGTGGTTCTCAACCATGGCTGCACATTAGAATCACCTGGGAATCTTTTTAAAATCCTGATTTCTGGACCTTATCCTCCGGAAATTCTGTTTCTTTGTTACTAATATTGTGGCCTCAGCCCATAACAAAGAATTTCCGGAGGATGAGGCCCAGAAATCAGGATTTTAAAAAGATTCCCAGGTGATTCTAATGTGCAGCCAAGGTTGAGAACCACTGCTTTAGAACAACTAGTATAGTACCTGATATGGAACTTAATATGATCTGTGCCTTCTCTTAAAGTTTTAATGAGTTATATTCCTCCGGAGTTCTGCATCAAGTTCTGTA